CCGAAGTTTCGGTGCCGAACGAAATACAAATTTGATGTTAAAATTACATAACACATATTGTTTTTGCGATATGTTATGCGATTACGTAGCAAATTCAGATTTTTTTTTTTTATTATTATTATATTTTTATTTTAGGAACTTATTTTTTAAATATGAACAGGACCCATCCTTTTGTTTTCTAAATACTATATATTTTTTTTTAATTTTATAATCTGATACTGCTTAGTAGTTTGTATTCACACAAATTAATTATTTATATAGTTAAACTTTCTGAAAAAAAAAAGCAACAGCTGAGTTTCTTGTCCGTTCTTCTTGGCTGAGTTTGCGTTCCGAATGAGCGGTAATGAAAAAAATATTATTCAAAAATGCTTAAATCTAAGTTGAATAAAAATTGTTATTTCTTCTTTCTTTCTTTCTAAACAAATATAATAACAAAATTGATATTAATTCAATATTAATAAACTGGGGGAAAAGTGATTGTTAGTAATGGAGACTGAGAATCCCATTGCTAGCAATATATCTAACCAGGTCGACCTCCTCGCGGTTCTCCCTGGAAACTATCATGGTTAATTCTTGATGAATTCATCATGATGGGCTAACTGGCCTATTTTCATTCTCATTGATCACTCTTCACTGGTGCTCCGCCAGCGTATCGCGTTAGCGCAGGCGGCACCATACCATTTTCACCCATCAAAAAAAACATAAAAAAAAAATGTGTATTAAAGATTTTTAGGATCAGCAACGCGCACGCGACACCCATAGTGTTGCAGGTGGTCATAGACTACAGTGACCGTTTTCTATCAGATAAGCTGTATGCTTGTTTACCATTTTTGTGGTATAAAAAAAAAATAAGTAAAGAAAAAATTAACTTTACGGCATTATTCAAGGGCTACTATTTTTTTTTAAACTAACATTGTCCTCTTACGTAGACTGTCATTTTTCAGTCGACTTCAAAAAAGAGTTTCTCAATTTGATTGTTTTTTTTATGTTTGTCACTTTAGAAATCCGTCATTTATATACCAATTTGAAAAATGTTTCTTTTTGTACAAAAAGATAAAACCTCAGATTGGTACCATAGAAATTTTATCAAAATTGGTTAAGCAGCTAAGTTTCTAAATCAAAATAACTGATTTTACCACTATTGTAATAATAATAATTCAATTTATTGCCATTCTTTACAGAAATTATAATGTACATATATAAATTAATCAATATATTGTGCAGTATTCGTATGCGCCTGGCAATAGGTACAAACCCAGCTTTTGCTGGACTGATGTTCGTTCGGCGCTGATTTGTAGTCGATGTTTCTCGTGGAACAAAAACTTAAATTATAACATCTTTATCTCATCGCCTTTATTGTCATCACAGCCAATAAAACCACCATTAAATAGCCATAACACATGAAAGATACGGTGCCGATGGGGTTTTATGAAAGAAATCACGTTTTATTAATTCGTAGTGTTTAGTGTTTGCTACAGTTATGGCGCAAGCGGGCGTATTGCGCGGGGCTGTTAAATTTATTTTAGAATGCACCGAAATAGCTGTTACAATATATTGTTAACCATTGTTTACTGCCGACTCTGACTTTATAAAATGCAGACGAATTTTTTAAGAGATTTTTTTAAAGGAGGTTAACTATTTTATCTGTTTTTTTTTTTTTATACTACAAAGGTAAAACAAGCATACAGCCCATCTGATGGTAAACGGTCACTGTAGCCTATTATCGTCGTATCAGCCTTTAACTGTTTACTGTTGAACATAAGCCTCCTTGAGGGGTTTTACCAGTAGTTGCCATGCTTGGCAGGCGGATTGGCAACCGCCGTTGAGCCTTGGAGATGTTTTAGGAAGGACGTAGCTGCCCGTACTTCACACTTCCTTAGTCGCCTTTTACGACACTTACGGGAAAGGAAGGAATGGTCTATTCTATACTGAGACCACATAGTTTTTTTTTTTTATTTTTTTTTTTTTATATATATTTGTAATATCGAATGTTTGTTAAATTATACGAGGTTAAGAAATTTTAGCTCCCAACTCGACAGCACCTAAATGCAAGGTTACCTTTTGATATGTGCCAGAACATTTGTTAGACATAACATAATACACAGAAGAGATTAGAATAGAATGGAAATATTTTTTTTATTTAAGTAAACTTAAATTTAATATGAAAACGAAAAAAAAACAACTAGTCACTAAAACATTAATAAAAAGACGAACTAGCTAATATGTGAATATATCGTCATAGTCGTAGAATACTGACGGATCTTTATATGTAATCTTTGTCAGATCCGTCAGTATTCTACGACTATGACGATATGACAATTAGGTGCCAAAAAGTTGACCCGTTTTGGACAGTGTGATGCTCTATCTATATATTCTAAGGTTAAAATATCGTTCCTTTGGACTTTTATGGTAGCATTCATGACGAACGAAATGTTAAGCTCCATTTACTGGGATGAGACTTACCAGAGGGAGACTTTGTACAAAAGTGGATTGCTTGGGTACCTCTGTCCCATTCGTGTTTCTACCGCGAAGCGGTTGTGTTTGCATGGCTGTGTTTCGGTTTGAAGGGTGGGATATGGCGTGAATTCACTGAATTCGTGAATGGGCGAAACGGTATACTCTGTTATGTACATGGTACTGCTCATGTCTATAGGCGACGGTTACCACTTTCCATCAGGTGGGCCGTCAGCTTGTTTGTCACTCTAAGTTGTATAAAAAATAAAAAAAATGATTTTGGTACGAACAAAAATATGAAAAAAAAACCCTGTTCCTTCGTAATCAAATACAATATAAACGAATATAATGTTATGTTAGTTAACCGAATGGAAAATTTTCATTACTCATAACACTCCCATTTGTAATGTTTCTAATTCTTTGATGTCGAACACAATAACGGAATACGAGAAATATAAAACACAAAAGATTGTTTCAAAATTTTTTTTAATTTAAAAACTATAATTCCGAATTGATTGTGATTACAATTTCCATTGAACCTATCTGTAAGTATATCCTTGTAGATAAAAAGGAATTTTCCAAATCGGTTTATAATTGACAGAGTTATGACGTAACAAATGTAAAAAAATATAATCAAATTGAACATTGTTCTTTTTGAAGTAGTTTTTTTTTTATACAACTTAGAGTGGCAAACAAGCTGACGGCCCACCTGATGGAAAGTGATAACTGTCGCCTATATACATGAGCAGTACCATGGACATAACAGAGTATACTGTTTCGCCCATGATACCCCCCATGCGTTGCCATTCCTGAGGACTCAGGTGTTATTCCTCTGTACCCTGTAAATTCACGCCATATCCCACCCTTCAAACCGAAACACAGCCATGCAAACACAACTGCTTCATGGTTGAAACACGAATGGGAATATTGCTTTGATGAGGAAATACATTCTAAATACGCGAATGTTGTTCAAGTAATTAACACTGATATATTTATAGACTTTTCTAAAATCGTCGACAGAGATCGCCCTATACGGACATTTGACCGAATATACGACGTGCTGCATAAGGGCCAAATTAAAAGTACCCGTAAGCGGCGAGCGTGTATGAATAGATTGATGAATGTGTAGGAAGCGAAAGAGGTCCGTTTGAATCGGTGTATTTAGCATTCCATTGTTTTTGTTCACTCCAATGGGAAATAACCCTAACGTATGTGTATATGTTTTCAAAAACAGTCTTGGTAATTGGTATATGTTCAACACAGAAGTAAATCTTTTGTTATGAAATTTTAGATTATAACAAGCTCCCTGCATCGATTGTGTAGTTCCTGTTTACATGGGAATATTTAGGAAATCTCATGTTACTGTTTAATACTGTTAAATCTGGATTTCCTGGGGGGAATATATATTACTGTACTTAAACATACAGTTTCCTTTTCCAACGTTCCCTTCCTTTTTGTCTCAATCCTTTCTTTCAAACCGTAGGTGATGGAAATCACCAACAAATGCATTCCCAAAGAGGGTTGACGTCAGGCAGGTGGCCGATCATAAAACTAAAAACCAAATCTTTTTGTAATATGGATAAAATCATATTACGCCGACCCTAAATGATTAGGATAAGGGTAGGAAGATGATGATTAAACATACAGTAACAACAATAAGTTAATAACAATGTTAGCAATGATAATTAAAATGTTAGCAGTCAACCTAACCAACCACAGTGGCAGGGGGGAAAGGGATTGTTAGTAATGGAGACTGAGAATTCCATTACTAGCAATATACCCAGCCAGGTCGACCTACTCGCGGTTCTCCCTGGAAACTATCGTGGTTAATTTCTTATGAATTTATCATGATGGCCTTAGCGGCCTGTTTTCATTCTCATCTATCACCCTTCACTAGTGCTCCGCCAGCGTATCCCGTTAGCGCAGGCGGGGTTACCATACCATTTTCACCCATCAAAAAAAATATGGATTTCCTGTACAATATTTCATGTTTATACGCAATGAAGGTAAACACGGGAAATAATAAAATATGCAATATATTATAACCTGAAAGAATTCTAACGATTATGATAAACTAATACAGTCTCATGTATTAGAAAGTGAGGTCAGAAACTAGCACACGTTTTAAAAATTTAATTAATAATAAAATATAATAAGTAAAAAGAGGATAAATATATTATTATGTGTAAATGTGAAATAACAGATAACGCGATCTTATTCTGAATGAATTAGTATAGTCCACACAATTGCATTGTTTCTTGCTAGTGTGTTTTTATAAAATTGTACAATACAAGAGAGTAAAGACAAAAGTTATAATAAATTATTATTATGTCGATAAAAAATAAATAAAACCATTCGCCAATTTAGAAATTTTGCCTCAAATTATCTTTAATTACAAAATAATCAGCAAAAACTACAAGTCTCGATTTTGGAGCCATTTAGTATTTTGTGTAATATTTAATTTAATGACCTTAGTATTGTTTTATCCACTACAAACACAAACTCAAATCTTTCCACTTTATAATATTAATTGATCACGTTTACAGAAATTCTGGGGACCCCAAATCGACCCGAGATTGGCGCAGTACCTCTCGAATTTTTTATTTGGTTCCGGTCAGCAGAAGTCACCGACGGTCGAGTTCAATAGATTCGCCGAGTTGTACGTATACAATGTGAGAGGTAAGTTCTCTGTCTAATTTTATATTAGCTCTCAAAACAAAATATGTATAATTAAAAAAAACTTTATTGCTAGCAATAGCTAGCAATGGGGCTGTTAGACCCTGTTACTAACACCAATAATTTGTTTTTTTTTAAGCACCTTAGAATGGCTAACAAGCTAACGACCCACCTAATGGAAAGTGGTAACCGTCGCCTATAGATATGAGCAGCAGCATGGACGTAACAGAGTATATTGATTCGCCTATGATACCCCCCATGAGTTGCCATTCCTGAAGGCTCAGATCTGACAGCTCTGTACCCTGTAATTTCACTGCCATATCCCATTGTTACAGGTACAGTGGATGAAAGAATGATGGTCACATACAACAGTTTGGGCAAAGACTACAACGAGACAGTCGAGTTACCATACCAGCTGCTGAAAGAAGTAGGAGTCCTCCCAATTTTTTTATTATCTAATCGCTCTATCTTCACGCCAATTCCCTAACGGGGTGGAGAGAGAAGAACTAGTGCCTTATTGTTTTAAACTTGATACTGGGTCTGGGTGTTCCAAGTTATGTCCTTTATATTGGGTCTTCCTTCTTGTCCGGTGGATATTTATTTAAGTGTGGTCTCGGTATAGAATGGGCCACCATTTCCTTTCCCGTGGGTGTCCTAAGAAGCGACTAAAGGAACTTAATGGTCGAGGGATGATCAGCAGCGTCCTTCTTAAAACATCACCAAAGCCTGACTGTGATTGCCAACCCGCCAGCTAAGCAGTGCAACTACTGGCAAAACCTTTTATTCTTTATTCTTTATTGTACATAAAAGGTTATTAAAATGTAAAAACAAACCTAATAGTGCACAAAGGCGAGCTTATCTCCAATAGAGATTTCTTCCAGCAAACCCAATATGAGAAAACTGACAGTTCATTTTCCTTCCCTTCCTTATGGGAGAGGCCTATGTTCAGCTATGGACAGTTGACGGCTGGGTATTGGGTCTGGATCTTCTAGGTTGTATCTCATAGGCTTGAGATTTTATGGCACATGTTAACTTAGCTAGCTTTTAACCGCGACTTTGTTCGCGTAACCACTATATGTTCACTGACAGGGATAAAACGTAGGTACCCTATCTTCCTTCACCATCCCATATATGATATAGTACGTGTATACCAAATTACACCATAATGGGTCAAGTCGTTAAGACGCTAAGAGGTAACAAACAAACAAAGTCCATTTCACATTTCTTATATTAGTAAGAATTATTACCTCTCTTTAAATTTTTTATACCAAAAATCTTCTATTCCAGTACTGTGAAAGCATAGCATCGACGTATATAAAGATATTAAAGTCTTCATCGTCGAAACGCGCGCGCACGTGGATCGAGAAGGGGTTCAAAGGTCGCGCGTCGCACGTCCAGGCGCTGGGTGAGGCGGTAGCGGCCACCGTTGGGGGGGATTTGGACTCCCCCCACCATCACTGCACCGCTGAACAGTTGTCCAAATGGTCGGTGGATATTTTTTATGATTATTTCTAAATTCATACCTTACTAGTGATTCGCCCCGACTTCGCACGGGTAGATGAAATTTTCGAAGATTATGAAATGAAATTAAATAAAATGAAATGAGTTTATTTACCAAATATATATATATATATATATATATATATTTTGGTGGATGAAAATGGTATAGTAACCCCGCCTGTGCTAATGGGATACGCTGGCGAGGCACCAGTAAAGGGTGATCATGAGAATGAAAACAAGCCAGTTAGCCCATCGTGATGAATTCATCAGGAATTAACCATGATGGTTTTCAGGGAGAACCACGAGGAGATCGACCTGGTTGGGTATATTCTAGTAATGGGATTTTTAGTCTCCATTACTAACAATCCTTTTCCCCCAATCTCTCTATATTATAGAGTAGGGTTGAAATTGGGTTTTAGAGAGGTTGCTTATTAAGATGTTGAACACGCATTAGGGTTTGTGTCGAGAAGGGGATTAAGGGACTTTTTAATGGGTGAAAATGGAATGGCAACCTACCTGCACTATTGTTTCACACCGACAGGGTATTAGTGAAAGATAAAGGGGAATCCACATGGAAGTCCGTCTAATTGGATATATTGTCTAGCAATACTATGATTAGAATTATAATATCTATTTCCAGTATACTATTTTTGAGTATTTGTACACACCAGAGGGAGACTTTGTACAAAAGTCGTTTGCTTGGGCACCTCTGTCCCATTCGTGTTTCTACCGTGAAGCAGTTGTGTTTGCATGGCTGTGTTTCGGTTTGAAGGGTGGGATATGGCAGTGGTACAGGGTACAGAGGAATAACACCTGGATACTCAGGAAAGGTAACGAATGAGGGGGTATCATGGGCGAAACAGTACACTCTGTTATGTCCATAGTACTGTTCATGTCTATAGGTTGACGGTTACCACTTTCCATCAGGTGGGCCGTCAGCTTGTTTGCCGTTCTAAGTTGCATAAAAAACACACCCCACTACTTTGGTACAGTTGAACAGTTGTCCAAATGGTCAGTGCATATTTTTTGTGATTTTTTTCTAAATTTCTACCCTTCAAAGGTTGAAATGAGTTTTAAGCACCTAATAATTCGTAAAAATGTTGAGTTTTAGAATTTCCTTTACAAATAAAATTTTATAAAAGAGAAAATTCTAAATTCAATTGTATATTTTCTTTATATATATATATTACGACAAGGAATTGGATGGTAAGCAGCCAGTGACTTTTATTTATTATATTTGCTTTCTAGGTTACAAACAAATACGTTATTAAAGCAGTTAGCGGAATTAGTGTTCCTGAACTTGTACGGGATAAACAAGAAAGCGGGGGACGAGAGTCCTACCCCGGTGCCGGCTGCCATGCCCTCGCTCCTCCCGCTGCCTGATGGTAAGTGACTATTATGGGTAAATAACCAATTTGAATAATTTCTTTTTTATTTTTTTAATTGACTGACAATTGCGATGTTGCCATACCTTGGAGGTTTCAATGTAACATACCATATTCTTAGATTATATAATATATAGATAGAGTGTCTCCATACAAATGCTTCGAGATAAACGGGTCAACTTTTTTATAAAATTTTCCGTAATAAATGGTTATGAGCGATTCCTTTATAACTTCTATATTTATTTTGTCTTATAAACTTTGCATATTTTTATATGCGTAATCACTCATTTTAATTATTAAATAATACGTCAAGATACATTTTATATGTGAAAAAAAAAAACGAGTCAGCTAATTTGACAATTAGCTGACAAAAAGTTGACCCTTTTTTGAGGCTCGATGCTCTATCTATATAATCTGAAATCATTCACATCTGCCGTTAGTTAATCCACTACTAAACATGGGGCTCCCTCTGTTGGGGGGTTTGCCAGTAATTGCCACCGCATTGGCGGTGATGTTTTAAGAGCTTCGTATTCGCCTTTTACGACGTCCACTAGAAAGAAAGGGGTTTTTTTTCGATGGGTGAAAATGGTATTACTATACCATTTTCACCCATTTTAGAGGCGACTAAAGAAAGGAGAGGGATGGGCAGCAGCGTACCTCTTTTTTTTTTTGATGGGTGAAAATGGTATGGTAACCCCACCTGCGCTAACGGGATACGCTGGCGGAGCACCAGTGAAGGGTGATAGATGAGAATAAAAACAGGCCAGTTAGCCCACCATGATGAATTCATCAGGAATTAACCATGATAGTTTGCAGGGAGAACCGCGAGGAGGTCGACCTGGTTGGGTATATTGCTAGCAATGGGATTTTTAGTCTCTATTATTAACAATGCCTTTCCCCCCAGAAAGGAAGGCGTTGGCAATACTATGCCGGGACCACACGGTCGTAAGCATTACTATACCATACTATATCAGTCGTTAATTGTCCACTGCTGGACATAGGCCTTTCTCTATTGGGGGGGTTTTTCCAGTAGTTGCTACGCTTGGCATGTGAATTCGTGGATTGCACTACGTCGTGGTCACGACAGGATTTAAAATACCGTCGGCAATAAAGAAGCTGGTATGAAGGTACTATTTACCTGCAAATTTTTCATCGTATTAAGTCCCAATAGTGTATTTGAATTTTTTATGCAACTTAGAATGGCAAACAAGCTGACGGCCCACCTGATGGAATGTGGTAACCGTCGCCTATAGACATGAGCAGTACCATGGACATAACAGAGTATACTGTTTCGCCCATGATACCCCCCTCCATGCGTTGCCATTCCTAAGGACTCAGGTGTTATTCGTTTGTACCCTGTAAATTCACTGCCATATCCCACCCTTCAAACCAAAACACAGCTATGCAAACACAACTGCTTCACGGTAGAAATACGAATAGGACGGAGGTGGCCAAGCAAACTACTTTTGTACAAAGTCTCCCTCTGGTATAGAAGGACTTTTTATTGTTTCTAGGTCTAGACGCGATGCCCGACTACCCAGCGTTCATCGATCTCTCCCACATAGTCTGGTTGAACAGCCACATACCGCAGAAGCATCAGCACAAGTGGAGATTCCTCTTCTCATCGCATATTCACGGTGAATCATTCTCCACCATGGCCGGTGAGTCTCTGAATTAATTAGAGCATGTTTAATAACCAAAAACGAACGGAACGTCGGCAATAAAGAAGCAGAGGGCCTACCATGAAATGTTTTCCGAATTTTCGGAGCTAAACGAAACAAAAATTTGATGTTAAAATTACATAATACACGCCGTTTGGAAATATTAAAAATGTTAAAATATTGTTCCTTTGGACTTTTATGATAGGATGTATGACGTACGAAATGTTAAACTCCATTTATTGGTCCGATTTTGGTATAAACAAAAACACGAAATTGAGTCCGAAATTTCGGAATTTCATTTCATGGTAGACCCACAGGCCCTCTAGACAAGTGGCAAGCGAATTCGTCAATCGAATCGAATCGAAATCGACAGCTCCAGTAAGTCCGTAAGATAGAATGAGATAGCAACGTCGGATATCTCGTTCCAACTCATGGATCGCTAGCGATGTCGATTCCATCGACGAATTTGCTTGCCACTTGTCTGGAGGGCCAGGTATGTTGATACTGTTCACCCCTGAAAGCTTTTACATCGCGTTAAGTCTCAATTGTGTTTTAAAAAATATGTTTTATAATCTACTTTGAAGTAATTAAAGATTGATCGACTTCAGTTGTGACAAAAGCAGTTTTTGTTTTCGTCTAAAAATAAAACTACAATTTTTACGATTTTGGTTAAATTTGTATGGAACTAGTCTGTAAATATCCTTTCAGATTATAAAAACAATTTTCCAAATCAGTTTACAACTGACGGAGATATTAGGTAACAAACACACAAAAAAAAATACAACCGAATTGAGAAGCTTCGTCTTTTTAAAGTCGGTTGGAAAAAGAAGGAGCAATTCGATTGCATTGTTTTTTTTTTCATTTGTTATCTCAGGCACAGATAATGTATCCTATCCTATTCTCTATCCTATCCTATCCGCTATCCTCAGTACTTCATCACTTATAATTTTTTTTTTTATTTAAAGCAATACACCTTTAGATTGAACCCAAAGACATTTCAACAAAATTGGTATATTGGAATCTCCGCAGTCAAACCTTATCCGACTGCGCTGTCACAGCTTCGGAATTTTTTTTTTGTTTTCAACGAACTTTAAAAAAGGGAAAAGCTTCTCAATTGGGTGGTATTTTTTTTACCTCATACTTCCGTTAGTTGTAAACCGATTTGGAAAATTCCTTTTTTTTTCTAAATATACTGATTAGTTAACCATTAATGCGTTTTTTAATGGATGATAATGAAATGGTAACCCCGCCTGAGCTAACGATATACACTAGTGGGGCACCAGTGAGGGATGATAGGTGAGAATGAAAAGGCAAGTCAGTTAGCCCATCGTGACGAATGCACCAGGAATTCAGCACGATGGTTTCCAGGGGGGGGGGGGAACGTAGAGGTCGTCCTGACAGGATATATTGTTAGTAATGGGATAGGTAGTACACATTATTAACGACCCCCCCCCCCCCACCGCCGTTAAGGCGTTATAAGGTAACAAACAAACTGTTTGTCATATTTATAATATTCTTTCGCAGGTCGTATACAAGACCAGGGCGCTTCCATTCTCATAATCGAAGACAACAGTGGCTACATCTTCGGGGGCTACGCCCCTGTGCCCTGGTCTCTGGGCCCGAACTTTATTGGCAACGAGGACTCCTTCCTGTTCACCCTCGCGCCCAAGATGCGGATGTACCCGGCGACGACATACAACAATCATTACCAATATATGAACCATCATACGAAGACGCTGCCCAATGGATTGGTACGTAAAGGACATTTTGTCCACGTGTACTATAAAAAAATATAAACCTGCCAAATTTATGAGTTGATTAGAATTATTTTGTCTACCTACTTCAAAAGGGGATTCTTAATTTTTTATACAACTTAGAATAACAAACACGCTGATGTCTCACCTGATGGAAAGTGGTAACTGTCGCCTATAGACATAAGCAGTACCATGGACATAACAGAGTATACTGTTTCGCCCATGTGTTGTCATTCCTGAGGACTCAGATGTTTTCCTCCTCAGAGATTCCTCTGTACCCTGTGAATTCACGCCATATCCCATCCTTCAAACCGAAACATAACAATGCAAACACAACTGCTTCACGGTAGAAACACGAATGGGACAGAGGTATCTAATCAAACGACATTTGTACAAAGTCTCCTAAGCATATTAATGATACCAGAATATAGAGGGGGCCAGGTGGGCCGCTCCTATCTTAGAATTAGTTGGTGCCGTCTCAAGATATTATTTCTATAATATATATTAAAAAACAAAACATTCCTCGAACATTCTCAGATAATGGGCGGCCAGTTCGAATTCGGCGGGATCTGGGTGAACGCGGACCCCTTTGGCGAGGGTTCGTCCGCGGAGTCCTGTAGTACCTACCGGGGGTACCGGCGGCTCAGCAAGGAGCCTGTCTTTCATATACGCAGTCTCGAGGTCTGGGGCGTTGGAGACAAGCCGGTCATCGATAAGGAATCGGTGAGTGGAAACCATTGCGTTATATTAACATTCGATATTTGAAGGTGGACAGCCCGCACTTACATACAAATAAGTTTGCCAACTCATACGTGAGGGGGAGGGGGGCAGAAGGGATTGGTAGTGATGGGAATTAACAATCCCATTGCTAGCAATACATCCTATCCACTACGAGGATCCCGCTGGAAACTATTGTGATTAATTTTACTGTTAAAGTAGTACCAACTGACCAGCTTCATCCTCACCTATCATCCCTCACTGGTATCCCAGCGTATACCGATAGCGTAGGCGGGGTAACCGTTCCAGGTTTGGCATTATGGGGACAAACCTGTCATCCATAAGGAGACAGTGAAAGGAATTCTTGTGTTAAATTATAAAAAAAAAATACATCGTATGCTCTTGGGTGAAAATGGACCATTTCGGCAGGGTTAGTTATCGACAATCCTCTAATATCTACCGAGGGTACCGATGGCTCAGCAAAGAGCTAGCCTGATTCCCAGCATTTGTAGCAAATTAAAAAGATAATGCCTCCTGGACTGATCATCAGACTTTAAGAGTACAATTGAATATTGAAATTAAATTTGCATTTTCTTCAAACTTTAATTTCCTTATCATGCATACAAGACTCCGTATTTGAAAATATAAGGAACTAGGCCTACTACTGTCTCACTCATTTAGGTTTATAAATTGTTCTTTACTATCCACGGCCTTTAATACAAATATTAGTTGTCAGTTAGATCAGAACCTACGCTAATTTAAATCGCATTTATATTAGAGTTAGGGTTTCAAATCAATTAAAATCAAATAATCCTATCCAATTACCACTTTCTCTCTGTCCACTGTCATAAGCTTTATTATCAATCGATACTTAATAGACCTCCTGTTGTGTTATTAACGCCTAGTACTTTACACAGCGTGATAACATCAAACATATGACTAATTGACATAATTAAAGTGGGAAATAATGGTCATCTGCTGACCTGATTATTGTCGTCGAGACGTCATTTTGACGCTTATATAAATTACCGTCTCACGTCACGATATTGTACGATATTACCATCACGATTTATAAGGAGAGCAAAATGTATGCAAATGTACGGAGATGTTTTTAATTTTTCACGACGATATTATGGACGAACACGGGAATTTAAAATCGTGTACATACATACAATTGTATACTTTTCGCTCCTCTATATTATCGTGACTATAAAATCCTGCCATTTTTTTTTAATGTATGAAAATGGAATGGTAAAACCGCCTTCGTTGTAAAAATATGCTGGCGGAGTTGTTAAATGGGTGAAAATAGAATGGTAACTACGCTCGCGCTATCGGTATATGCTGGAGGACCAGTAAGGGATAATAGGTGAAGATGAAGCAGGTCAATCGGTCCATCGTGACGAATTCCATAAGCCGACTAAGGAATATGATTAAGATCTCCTCTCCCCCCCTTTACCTACTATTCCTCCTCCTCCTGTTCCTCAGGCAATCACAATATCGTCGCGCACCAGTGTACTCGAGACCCACAAGTCGGATCATAACTACCTCAAACTAATCACTATGCCGAAAACAACAAGAGGGCTTAATTTGATCTCCTAGAAGGTTATTGATGCCTAGTAATTTAACACTGTAGCCTAGAAATTTATAATAGAGTCAAAAACAACAAGAGGGCTTACTTTGATCTCCTAGAAGGTTATTGACGCCTAGTACTTTAGTACTGTAGCCTAGAAATTTATAATAGAGTCAAAAACAACAAGAGGGTTTAATTTGAACTCCTAGAAGGTTATTGACGCCTAGTACTTTAACACTGTAGCCTAGTAGAGTCATACATATTAAATTCAGTTTACTAATATAAATTGTAAATATGTCTGTATATGAGAGTTCTTAATAACTAATAGAGGTCAAAACAATGAAGAGAAATTTTTAGAAATTTTATCTATCTGTCTGTATGTTTATTCCGGTATTACGCAAAAACTACTTGCATCAAATTGGACATGCTTTTTACAGTTTACAGTTGTCTTCCTGAAAGAAATTAAAATCTGGTATATGTTCCAGCTTGATACGCCATTTAAAAATCATTAGTATTCCTACTTCTGGAATCCACACCTACTGTTACAACCTTAGCATGTAGATATGTTATTGCTGAATAGCAATATCATTTATTTCCATTTAAATCAGCAGTATTATGCCTATATAAACTCATACAAACTCAATCAGCCAGTCGTAATTTAGCTAGCTAAATTACTGCCCCCAGCTACAGATCTGGTTTCTGCCCGCCGGTCTGGCCAGTAAAATTAACTAGTTGGATTTATCATCCAGGCTCAATTAAACCCTGAACCATAGGTCTTTCATGTCGCGAGTCAAGTGGACCTTCAAATTAATTAAAAGTACACTGTTAACTGTGTTTTTTTTATACCACTGAGGTGGCAAAACAAGCATACGGCCCACCTGATTGTAAACGGTTACCGTAATCTATGAATGCCTGCAATACCAGTGGTATTACGTGCGCGTTGCCGACCCTGAGAAACCTCTTTACCCCCCTTTTGAAAAACCCTATGCTCTGAGTCTTCGTGGGAGAAAACATCTCTGAAACCGTGTTGTACGCGACCATTTAGGCTGTAGGGTATGAGAGTGAAGTCCCTGTAGATAGCGAGCCGTACGATGGTAGAAAGTGGCCGTGGGCATCATATTGAGCAATTTCTTTTGTAAAAATATTAAATAAATAACTTCGATGTGTGGCATATAGTTTTTTTTTTTTTTTTTATATATATAAACAAGTGCAAACGGCCGGTTAGAATATGAAGCCACACGCACACACACGACGGACATTTTGTCCGCGGACTAAATTTCCCTTTGTTTAAACTGCATGAATTGTACAATGCGTTGTAGCATGCGATTTTAAGTTTTATTATAAGCGGATTAAAATTTACATTGTACGCTGTCTCTCGTCGAACCTAATAACGAATGAATACGAAGAAACAAAAGGGAATATTGTCTATAGACAAAATATATGCGCAAGCCAATATGAATAATTTCTTTTAGGTATTACGCTTTCCCTTAGAACTTGTAACTAGAATGTAGTATATAATTATATATATATATAATTATATATTATATATTGCGTTGAGTAATTTCGTATTTTAATTACTAGATTACCGTATTGATTCTATATTAGGAATTATCATCATCATCATGTCAGCCTTTAACTGTCCACTGTTGGACATAAGCCTCCCCCTTGGGGGGTTTTGCTTGTACTTGCCACGCTTGGCAAGCGGATTGGCAACTGCTATCATGCTTTAAATATGTTTTATGAGGGACGCTGCTGCCCATGCCTCGTCGTAATATTCGTAATATCAGGTATTAATAGAATATATAAATAGATAGATATTATTTATTGTTTCCTCTAAAAGATTACAATAGTAAACTTATTATAAATACAAACAATTCAAAAAAATCACACTGAGAAGACAATAGTCGTTATTATTGCTAAAAGCGATATCTTCCAGCCTTTGGGTGAAAAGGAGTAATTATAAACAGTTTCAGAGAAAGCAGCAAATTCTGTTCGTTTTTTAAATATTTTTTTCACGTATTTTTTTTTTATAGGACGAACGCGATGTGAGTGTCTTGGATACAAATCCAGAAGCAAAGGCCATCTTGGATATGGCTGGCCGCACCCGTCACAGCGAAGGAATCCGTGAACCGCCGCCATTATAATGAACACACGGCTGTATGTAGGTAGTTTCTTTGCTTCACTCCACTTGACCATAAACAAAGTCATTAAAAGTACATAATTGATTAGATAAATAATGTTGACTAAATTGATGTATGATAGTAAGAGCTTTGTCAACTGTGGCTGATAAATTGAATGATTACAATAAATGGTTTGAGCTGGCAAAAAAAAACTATAGGTAAGTGAATACATTTTTCCCGCCATTTTATAGTTGCACCGTTCCATAGACAATCAGACAATGAATTGTACTTTTAAGAGTCTTAAAGAGGTATAAAGTAAGATATATTCATACATGGGTTCCATATCAAATATGTATGAATACACATTGGTATATTACTCTATTTTAATTATATCTTTTCTGAAACCATTTTATTGGTATCATAAAAAAATGAGATTCATAATTATAAAATAGTATGTTTTTTTAGCAAATTAATTATACAATCAGTCATTAATAGTATTACATTTGGTCTTAATGAAACCATAAATGAGTAACTTGTAGCTGTATGTAATTATTTCTTTGCATTTCTAACTTTTTTTATATAAAATGTAATATGTTTGTACAGCAATAAATGAAGACATGAATGTATGAAGGTGATATATCGAATTTCAGATTTTTCGTTAAATACATATTCTTTATTGTTTCCTCCATAAAATTACAATAGTAAACTTATTATAAATACAAACAATTACAAAAAAATATTACACTAAGAAAACAATGGACGGCCTTATCGCTAAGTGCGATCTCTTCCAGGCTACCTTTGTATGGAGAAGAGTAATTATAAACAGATTTTATTCTCTGGATGGAGGTGTTATGTGTATATCAATACATATAATAAAATAGTAATTGGTCGGTGTCTGTACATGGATGATATATAAGAAAAACTATTATAGTATATAGGGAGCTACAATAACGCAATAGAACCGAAAACAATTGTTTTTAGTATTTTTGTCTGTTTGTACATTTGTGCACGCTATTCTCAGAAACGGCTTAGCCGATTTTTAATACAGTTTTCACTAATGCGTTGCGGTTTGTTCCACTTAACATTTAGTGTTTGTTTTATTTCAATCGGTTCATAAATAAAAAAGTTATATCAATCTAAACAATCACATATAAAATGCTATAAAATAACCGATTGAATTGGTTGAAACTTTTTATATTGTATGTATTTTCGAAAATTCTGTATCTAGCCATAATTTGTAGTAATCTTGTGTAAGTATAAGTCATGTTAGTGTGTACATAGCACCTCCAAACGTCTACGCCCATTCATACTATAGAATAGCGAAAAGCGAAAACCGATACGACATCATAACCTCCAAGAAAAGAGCATATTCCTTTTTAAAAGGCCGTCAGCACACCTGCAATGCCGTTGGTGTTGTGGGTGATCATGGGCGGCGGTAGTCACTTACCATCAGGTGAGCCGCATGCTCGTTTGCCCCTGTGTTGTAAAAAAATCCCAAAATACCATATACCGCCTTCATCTATTCATAACTTCAAATTTATGCATAGAAAGTTACGGGATGGTGCCTTTTATGATATTTATTGAATTATTAGTAAAAATTTTAGTATAAATTAATTGTTGCCATCCTAAAATATCCGTTCGCTTTTTCTTACTTATTAGTATTTATACAAAACTGTCATATAATTAAATAGTTTTTATATTGAAAAAAAAAATATCTTTGACACAAACTCTAAACGATCTTAGTATGTTTTTGTCCAATTTGTAAAAATATATGACCAATTATACAATTTACTTTTTAATTTTGTTAGTTATTTATTGAAGGACTATTCAAAAATGTTTATTTTTACTATAATAAAAATTACTTTTTTCATTATTTGTTACATATTTCAATAAAAAAAAAGAAGCAAAGATCGTTTACGAATTGTGCCATATATATATATATATATATATATATATGTATGTATGTATAATATTTGTACTCAAGAATTAAAATTTTTGTATTTCACATAATTAAGTATATATCGTGTTACAATTTTGTACTGCATAAAAATCGCTGTTTAAAAATAAACTTTTTACTATTTCAATTTATTAGAGTTACGGTTTATACAGTTAACATAACTTGTATAATATATAAAATATAAGGTTTTTATATTATTACATGGTCAATATATAAAATTAATATTTAAAGCTTGTGTTCACAACTACCAAATTAGTAGAAATGGTAGATTACGTTAACTATACTGGAAAATGTTTGAGTTGTTCCTTAGCTGGTCTGGGTGAAAACCAAGTGCAACAGTGGTGATGAATGATTCAGATGATGAATTTAATGACTATTTCAGCACAATGCGCTATGTTTAGAAATTTTTTAGACTTTCACCAGTCAAATTACATATTATGCAATGTATAAGGTAAAAAATAAGTCTATGGCATCCTTTAAAGGGAATATTCTACCAGTTTGTATTTAGAAACTTGTTTTATCTTAATTAACCACCACAACACTATACTTATAACAGTTCATCTAACTGTCAAGTTAGTATGGGAAATTTAACACTTTGTTGTTTTTCGACCCGTGTCGGTGATAAACCACTCTTTTCAAAGGTTGCTAGTGATTTTAATTTCACCCAATACATTTTATATTGTATAATGCTAAAGTTAGTGAAATTTTTGACTATTTTATATTAATGTTCGCTTTGTATTCGATACAAAACTACGTCAAGTAACTAGTCATTGCAGTAATGTTTAAAAATCACAGATTATAAATTGAAATAGATAATGCATGCACTTTTTGTATTATATCTTTTTACTAAATTAGGCTTATCACTAAGTATAACCGCTGATCACTTTCTCTGTCACTGCATTAAGAAGCGTGGAACAGATCTCTTTCAGAGATAAACCCACCCTTCCTAATAAGTTTACACCAGTGAGGAATGATAAATGAGAATGAAGTCAGGCCAGTCGACTCATCGTCACAAATTAACCTCCTGGTTAATTCATGGTCAAGGTGATGGTTTTCAGGGGAGACTGAGGAGATCATCTGACAAGATATTTTGTTAGCTATGTGTCTGATGATCCCCATTTACTAACAATCCCTTCTCCCCTGGGTAAAGAGTTTAGTACAGGTCTCTTTATTTAGAGTTCTCTTTAGTAATTTCTTACGATATCCTAGGGATATGAAGTGGTGACACGCCATATTCTTACTCGATTACTTGCATATAGATCCGGCTTGAAGGATCAAAAAAAAATTCATTCATGATTAAATTTTTTTTTAATTCTCTGGTTAAATTCAATCCGAAATAATCCTGATACATGATGATGACAACAAAACAAATATTATTTTTAAAAGGGTTTACTGTGAGAGGGAGTTTCAAAAGTAAGTTTTGTATCACTTGCCTCAAGTTTAATATTGATACGCTTAGTTTTCACAAAAAAGTGCTTGCGTTGTCTATCTGTGCGTACGTCTGTGTTAAAAATCAATTAATGTATACACGAGGTGTAATAGAAGTGCAACAATCCGAAATCCGATGATAGTATTCAAAGAACTTGAAACTTTTCCCGCGAAACGTCGAAATGTGAAAATAAGGACCTTCGGTTAGGGGCAGCCGTTCATTAGAGTAGGGTCGTAGGGCTCATCTATAATGGAAAGGGGGGGGGGGGGGGGAGTTTTGAAACGGTTATTTCACTTAAATAAGCAAATTAAACTAAATGTATCTTAAATAATATTAAGTGGTTTTTTGACAAAAAAAACAGGTCATTGTGTATTTATGATTATTGTCCGGGGGGGGGGGGGGGGGGGGGGGGAGGACTGGTCCTTTAAAAAGGCTCATATGTGCTCTTATCTTTGCCCACAGCTAATATCTCCGCTCGATCCTGAAGTGGGCATAACTCACTCTCCTCCCCATAGTAATTGGTTAATTTAGCTGTTAAGGCACTAAGAGGTAATAAATAAACTTGTTTTCACATTTATTAAATTAGTAAGAATTATACTCGTGTATATATATATATATATATATTATATAATTTAGTGAATACTATCCCTGGCTTTCGGATTGTTTTCCTTTTTAGAAGTAGTATAAAAATAGTGCAATATTTATTCATCTCCTTCAAATATGTAATATTAGTATAATTTTAGTATTATGCAGCATTTATTGTTTTCGTATTGTGTTCTTGTTAATAATACGTACATAAGTTGATGACAATATGGAGCTAGTTAGGCAGAAAACAGCTAGAGGGAAACTTTGTACAAAAGTCGTTTGCTTGAGCACCTACGTTCTATTCGTGTTTCTATCACGAAGCAGTTGTGTTTGCATGGCTGTGTTTCGGTTTGAAGGGTGGGATATGGCAGTGAAATTACAAGGTACAGAGACATAGCAAGGTAGTGTTCAGCAATGGCAATATATGAGCGGTAGCCTGGGCATAATAGTATATTCTGTAATGTCCATGGTGCAGATCATGTCTATAGATAACGGTTACCCTAGTGGCATGGGTAACTTAATTATTTTTTCTGCGTCAACTTGGTAACTCAGGCGCACCTTACTACGCTGGATCAATGTGTTAACTCAGAATTATGTCTAAAGGCACAGGATAACTTGTATCTCGTATAGCTATACTGTATTTTGTCATGTCATGACCAGAGGGAGACTTTGTACAAAAGTCGATTGCTTGGGTACCTCTGTCCCATTCGTGTTTCTACCGTGAAGCAGTTGTGTTTGCATGGCTGTATTTTGGTTTGAAGGGTGGGATATGGCGTGAATTTACTGGGTACATAGGAATAACACCTGAATTCTCAGGAATGGCAACGCATGGGGTGTATCATGGGCAAAACAGTATACTCTGTTATGTCCATAGTACTGCTCATGTCTATAGGCGACGGTTACCACTTTCCTACAGGTGGGCCGTCAGCTTGTTTGCCAATCTAAGTAGTATAAAAAAAAAATGTGCCAAAAAATATTACGAAAAAAAAATGACTTTCCTCTATGACTGACTCTATATTTTATTGCATTTATTTACATTTTACAAATATTTCTCCACGCCCAAAGCCTATTTTATCTTTCTCAAACAATATCCCGGTACTGCGCTGTGCGCTAACACATTTTGTAAAAGAGAGTTGTTGTAATTGCGCGGCGTAGCGTTGTATTATCCATGGCTAGTTACCACTAGGGAGGGAGAGGAGGCGATTGTTAATAATGAGATCTAACTGCGCCATTGCCAGTAATGGGTGATAATGAAATGGTAACCCCACCCGCGCTATCCCTTCCCCCCATTGCTAGTAATACATCCTATTAGGTCGACCTTCACGCGGCTCCTCCTAGAAACCATCGTTATTAATTCTAGTGGAATTCATCACGATGGGCTAACTGACCTGCTTTCATCGTCACCTATCATTCCTCACTGGTGCCCCGCCAGCGTATACCGATACCGCAGGCGGGATTACCATTCCATTATTATCCATTGAAATGGTTACCACTAGACATGGGTAAAATCTGTAACCCTCCAATATATCTTAATATTGGGTTTCTCTGAACATTCATGGCGAAAAAAGGTCACCACCCATCTCGATATCGCCCATACCAGTCGGATATCTGTATTAAATACAATCCGCTGCTTCATTCCATATATTATATATAGATATTGGTGTATCCCCAGTTACCATTTCCCATCAGATGGACCGTCAGCTTGTTTGCCATTCCGAGTGTAATAAAATTTTTCATTTATTAACATCATAGGTAATATAATAATAATAATAATAATAAATCTCTTTATTTTCAGGTATATACCCATAGTTAACATTTTTATATTATTAATTAAATAAATTGTTATTATTATTTTTAAAATATACATCAATTATAAAATACCAATTTAAATTATTTCGTTATAAAATCTCTTGTCGTCAGGTATGCTGTGAGAAATACAGTCTTTACAATATTATTACTTGTTGTCATTAATCTGTCATGAAATTTTGCCTTATAATTACGTAAAATAGCAAAAAAATCATTAACCCTGTTCTCTGCAAACATGCCAGACGCACTACACCGCCATGGCAAGTTGAGCATCGCTCGGAATGCGTTATTGTATTGCACACGCAGTGTGTTATAAGCCCTTTTCGTATAACTATACCATAACTGGCTGGTGTAGAAAGCCTGACAATAAGACTTAAACAATGTCAATTTGACTAGCTTCGAACAGTGGTTAAATCGTCTAGCCAGCATATTGCTTCTACATGCAATGTTACGCCTTTGTCTCTCCAGATCGCTATCATCTTTCAGATCTTCTGTCAACATATGTCCAAGATATTTAAATTTATTAACTATTTTTAAAGTATTCCCACATAAATTAATTTTTGGCAAAATTTCAGGTCCCTTTCCATATTTAAAAATAATAATTTCCGATTTATTGACATTATATGTTAAATGATGTATCTTTGCATATTGTTCACATATTTCAATTAGTTTTCTAAGACCATTGGCTGACGGACTCAGCAAGACCATGTCGTCCGCATAACTGATATTATTTAGGCTTACACCACCGATATGGCAGCCAACTCTAGTCCCACCGAGTCGGCCAATCAAATCATTGATATATAAATTAAACAGAACAGGTGAGGTCAGCCCACCTTGTCTAACTCCACATGTAAGTTTGTAGCTCTCCGACAACACGTTACCCCATCTAATTTGATTTAACTGGTTTTCGTACCAAAATTCCAGTATATTTGTAATATTAGGTGGAACCCTTGTCTCACGCAATTTATTCTCAGTAGTCTGTATGTCAAATCTAGAAACGTAAATGTAGGATAACTTTGGTACAATTTTAATTATATCAGATGTTAATAGACGTTTTCCCTGTTTGTTGTTGTTTCTTTGTATATTTTTGTGAAATTTCTTTCTTTTATTTACAATAGTCGTAAAGCTGTTATCAACACTGGAGTTTTCAGAAGTTTTACTATTATTAAACTTATTTTGCACTGGGCTACTCGACGCGCTCGCGGCAGCATACGTCAACAATTGTTCTTGTTCAATCCTATTCCTATTCACTGAAAGCCGCGAAACTGTTAGCGGGCGTTCTGCCCTTTTTATTGGCAGCGCGACGGTAGAGGTCGCGGAAGGTTGCGGAGAATGAGTCAACTTATTATAAGTACACGGTTGTCGGTTGCTATCATAAACTCGCTTACCCTCACCTTGCTTCTCCAATTGATTTTTCATACACTCTTCTTGGTTATTTTTGGTTTGCGATGATGTTAATTGTTCCAACTTTTCTTGTATATTTACTAGATCAGAAGATGTCACATAATCGTTTCGAATGCGATGAATATCTTGTTTTAGTACTAAGATATCTTTTAAAAGCGTAGTGACGTCCACGTAATCAAAGGTTACTGGCGGTAGTTTGTATAAATCCTTAGCTACAAAAATGGGCAGCGTTTTGCCTTCACTTTCCTTAAGAATTTTTATTATATCTTGCAGTAAGCGCTTAGATTTGCCCTCGCCTTTCCTCGAAGAGCGCAGAATATTATTTGTTGCTTCACCAATAATATTTCTAGCCGTTTCAATTGCACTTTCAGAAAAGTTTGAATCACATATTTGCACTAAACTTATTTCATCCATGATATCAACTTTACATTGAAGGAAGCACAACAATTCATTAATGACCATTCCATTATTTTGACTTGTCATGATCGAATAATGCACTTGCACAATTTCTACATCAGAGAGGCAATGAAAGTCGACCGAACTGAACGAGCAGCGACCTCTGACTGGCCCTCTGATATGGCCGTTCTGCATAACTAGCTCAATATGTCATTCTAAACGAAATGCGCTTTATAACAGCGTTTTAATTTTGTTTTAGTTACATCCATCCCCGTTGTATTGGATCTTGTTTAAAAAAGTATATAAAAACTATTTGGGTGAACGCTTTTGTGGGAGGTAATGAATATTTTGTATTTATTTTCTCGTCTCTACAATTATGCATTAGCATGCAATAGCTTTAACTCTAACAGTCCACTGTCTATCTCTAAAATTAAATATTTATTTTGATGGTATTTATTTATTTTATTTGGGATAACAACAGCTTTTTACAAAATTGAATAAATATTACATTACATTTACTACATGCTAGCCAATTATAGTTGTCCACAGCGCAAAACATAAGCATCCGTTAAGCAAATAAAACCATATTCTGTAACAATATTAGTATGGTGCATACGCTACAATGCTCGCACTGTAGGTATACTGTGCGAACACTACAGCCGATGGTCCCACAAACCATCCCGAGACCAATACGTCACACTTGCGCTAACTTCATGCGGTTGCGCCGCTAGGTAGTGTTGTGGTAAGTATGGGTCTGTCGTAATTTACACGTATAATGAAATCTATTCCATGGATCAGTATTAAATTTATAATAGATCTGAGGCGAAATCGCGTTAAAATTAGTTCTTAATGAAAGGAAATATGAAATTTTTGCTTAACTATCAAATAAATGTTTTAATTTTAGAGTTAGATTTATATAGGTAATACTTCTGAAATTATAATTCTGAATTAATAATTCTGAAAGTGAGTGAGCACCTTTTTAAATGTTGGTGATTCATGTTTGGTAATATTTAATGAAATTAATGATTGATTCTCAAAATGGGTTGTAAACGAAATAAGATCAATAATCTCTGTTTTAAAGAATAATACCTTTTAGAATCAATTCCAATTAATTTTATCGTCATACCAGCCGCCTGTCCACTACTGGCTACATAGGCTTCTTCTTTGGGGGTTTTTCCAGTAGTTGCCACGCTTGGCAGGTAGATTGGCAACTGCAGTTAGGCTTTCGTGATGTTTTAAAAGTGACTTTGCTGTCCATCACTCTACTATTAAATTCCCTTAGTCGCCTCTTACGACACGCACGAGAAAGAAAGTGGTGGTCCATTCTATGCCGGGACCACACGGCAATTAATTTAATAATTAACATATATTTGTGAATTTATTATAAGCTGTAATTGCATGTGCTTATGAGATTGACCGTCAAACAAAACATATGCAACGATTCGGGTAACATATTATGCTAATCTCTAAGTTTGTCGTTTTATACCACATAGCTATAGTGTGTTCTACAAAAGTATAACATATGTTATACTTTTTCTAGGGGGGCAACTAGTCAGACATATTTTGTTTTTTAAATCTAATAAACTACGTATACACGGGTATAAATACAAATAATACGCAATTACGCAATATGATTTGCTCTGTAGTAATTTTACATAAAAACAAATCGAATGCGTAAGTTGCATTATCTATGGTTTATCATTTATGTCTGCGACTGAAGGACTTGTATCCTTGGTCATGAATAAATTAAAAAAAAAAATATCTATGGTTTTGTTTCCCGCCAACTAAATATTATTTTTTAATATATTATATCTGCATAGATAAATTGCACGCACATAAAAGTTTTAATTAGCGGACGGTTAGAAATAAACTTTACGGCTATAATCGTAAGGTTTCGTTTGTCCAGTTTTTACAAAAATCATAATTCTGTAGCTCGATATAAATACATTAATCATGTTAAACAAGTGCCAATGAATAGAAAGCCATATTATTTATAACATAAAGTATATATTTGTCTACTTCAAAGCACAATCTTTGTGACATTCCTACCTCATTACTAAAAAATTCAGCACTATAGTTTTTTTTTTTTCAAGATTATGGTCACATTTAAAGCCATCCAATCTCCCTTGTGGCCAATTTTCACTTCAAATTAAACAAGAAAATGTAAAATAAGCTTTCCATGTATGTCACACTTATGTCAAATTACTACACTATTTCAAATACGACAAAAATATTTTGATGTTTAAAATTGAACCCTAATTTAAACTTTATTAAGTTAAATTTCTCTGTTTATCAAATGGAATTTTGTATTTGAAATAGAGTAACAACACAACATATATTTAAGAGATCGTGTTTAAGACCAAGAAAGTCGATATTACCTGTTTATTAAAATTTAAATATAATTTAAATAAATTTTTTTTTCGTTTATAAAAATAATTGTAATTTTTGGTAGAAATTAAACAAGGTGGATCAGAGAGACACCAGTTAAGTCTCACTGTCACAGTCACCCTCATGTCGACCGTCAGTTACCATATTCCATCAGCTTATTTACCATTCCAAAATATTTAAGTTTGAACAGGTAATACTGATAAATCCTCTTAAATAAACTTATCGTTACTTACCTACCCTTTTTTGTTAGTGTCCAAAGATATTTATTAACGTGAATTATGAGATACGGTGAACGCTTATTTTTATGTGTACTAGAACAAGGAAATGTGAGTGGGTTGTATCTAATTGTATTTAATTGTTTAATTTATTGTGATAATAAATTATTTGAAATTTATTTATTTTTATTTATTGTACACATGAGGGAGGGGGAATATCATGGGCGAAACAGTATACTCTGTTATGTCCGTGGTACAGCTCATGTCTATAGGCGACGGTTACCACTTTCCATCAGGTGGGCCGTCAGCTTGTTTGCTATTGTAAGATGCATAAAAAAAAGAAATTGAAATTTTGCAAACTTAAATAGAATAAATCATAAACAAACAGTATCTATGTAAAATAAAATTATAATGGAATGTTGTTGTATTGAAAATCTTTATTTTTTTAAGGTTACTTGAAAATAAAACTACAATTAAATCGAACCACCATTTAATACTTATTTGACAATCTTATTCTACAATCTCTTGTTACCAATAGACAAGTCTATAGGTTCATCCACAACTCCAGAAGCGTGGATGTCGTGGGAGCTCTCTGGTAATTCATCTTGCATGGTGTCATGCAAAGGTGCGGCAAGCACTACAGTACTTTGTGGTATGGGATTTGAAAAGTTGTCTTGCCATTTTGTGCTATTCCGAGTACGATGTGTTCTTGAAAAAGAAAATTCAACAAAATTAAAAACTATTCGCTTTTACTCGCGATTCTGTTTACGTGACCGTTCCACTGAAGGGGATAAAAGTAGCCTATGACTTTCAGCCCGCCCCTACTGGAAAATATATTACGTCTACGTCTGTACAGATGTCTAGTACTCATAGTACAAACCCTGTTTAGTGAAGGAGAGGGGGGAGGCAGGGATTATTGGTAATGAGGAGGTTAGTCCCCATTGCTATCAATATACTCTATCAGATCGACCTCCACGCGATTCCCACTGGAAACTATCGTGACTAATTTATCGTTGAATTCGCCACGATGAACTAACTGACTTGCCTTTTCATTCTCACCTATCATCCATCACTGGTGCCCTGCCAGCGTATACCGTTAGCACAGGCAGGGTTACCATTCCATTATCACTATTATAAAAAAAAAGCTCTATTACTAGCAATATACCATATCAGGTCGACCTTCACAAGGATCCTCCTGGAAACCATCGTGATTAATTCTTGTCGTGGTGAGTCAACTGGCCTGCATTCATTCTCACCTACCATCTGTACAGGTGCCCGCCATTGTATACCGGTAGCACAGGCGGAGCTACCATTCCATTTTTACCCATTAAAAATTCTGCTTAGTTTGGGACCCAAGCGTTATGTCTGTGCAATATGTTCAAAGCTATTATTTTACTTATATTTGCGACAAGCGTCTTCCCGATGCCTCTCCAGGTAGCGCCGCTGGCTGAACGCCTTCCCGCACTGCGAGCAGCGCCACTGCCACGAGTGGTGGCCGCGAGTACGCTGGTGGGCGCGCAGGTTCGACCTAGGATACGAAAGTACCACTCTTAGAATAAGATAGGATGGTATTTTTTTAATGAATGATAATGGAATGGTAGCCTCGCCCGCGCTAACGATTTACACTGGCGGGTCACTAGTAAGGGATGATAGATAAAAATGAAAAGGCAGGACAGCTAGCTCAACATGATGAATACACCAAAGTTTCCAAGGGGGACCTTGTGAAGGTCGACCTGATAGGGTATATTGATAGCAATGAGGACTAACCTCCCCATTACTAATAATCCTTTCCCCCGGATAGGATTGGTTAGGTTGGGATAAGATAGAATTAAATATTATATATGCTTTGAACAGGTGATACAAAGTTCTTATTTAATTTATTAAACATTAGGATAGGATGGGTTCTTTTAAAGGATGATAATGAAATAGTAATCCTACCTGCACTAACCCTATAACCTGGCGAGGCTCCAGTGAAGGATGGTAGATGAGGACGAAAAGAGGTCGGTTACTTGTTATATATTCATTTGGAATTCACCACGATGGTTTCCAGGGGGAGCCGCGTGGAGGTCGACGTGACAGGGTATATTGCTAGCGACAGGGCTACTAATTTCCATTACTATTGCGTAAAGTATATGCGTGAATTTACTGGGTATAGAGGAATAACATCTGAGCCCTCAGGAGCGGCAACGTATGGGAGTATCAAGGGCGAAACAGTATACTCTGTTATAACCATGCTACTGCTCTTGTCTATAGGCTACCGTTACCACTTTTCATCAGGTGGGACGTCAGCTTGTTTCCCATTCTAAGTTGTATAAAAAAAGAATAATAATAATCCCCTGATATTATAATTTTGAATATGTGTTACCTATCTGCAAATGTCCTCCCGCAAACTGGATGTGGACAGGGAAAAGGTCTCTCTCCTGTGTGCAGACGAAGGTGTCCCTTCAGCACCCAGGGCCGGTCGAAGCCTTTACCACAATACGAACATGTGTGGTTGACGCGAGCTCGTTGCCCTGACCAAGTGGCTATGTTCAGTGGCAGATTTACGTCTGAGAATTTATGATTATGGCTTTATTCTTTATATATATTGTACACAAAATGTTATTAAAATGTCAAAACAAACATAATAGTGCACAAAGGCGAGCTTATCTCCAATAGATATTTCTTCCAGCAAACCCAATATGAGAAAACTGACAGTTCATTAGTAGTTACAGTCATACACGTGTACCAATCGACTTAAATGCTATAGTTAAAAATAAATAAAATGTCTTTACAATTGAAAAGACCAATAGGTTAAATAAATAAATAAAAATATATATATAAGTAATTACATATAAATAGATAGATATATATTATATATAATACACAATTAATTGTTTTAATTGATGAAAAGGTCTTTTATGGGAATGAACATTAAATATATAAGATACCAAAGGATATTTTGAATCTTCCTTTTAATAAATTTAAAACTGTTATTAAAAAACATTTATTGAACAAAGCCTACACTCTAAACGATTACTCGAATGACAAACGTGCATGGTGTTAGTTGATCATGCACGGGCTTTTAACGACCATGTAATTTTAGACAAAGTACATTTAAATAAATATATGTGTACTTAGATAACGGATATTTAAAAGAGTAATTGTAGAGTTTCTTGCGGATTTTTTTTTTGCTTCAGCAGATTGTTATCTGCTGAGAAGATCCTGAGTTGATTAAAAAAAAAATAACGATTTAAAAGTCATTGTAGACAAATCTATTTGAACAAAGATGATTTGAATTTGAAAATTCGTAACGTGACGTGACGATGGAATAGTTACCCCGTCTACGCTATCGGTATACGCTGGCGAGGCACCAGTGAAGGATGATAGGTGAGTATGCAACAAGTCAGTTAGCCCATCATGATGAATTTATCAGGAATTAACCATGATAGGTTCTAGGGGGAACCGCGTGGAGATCGACTTGGTTGGGTATATTGCTAGCAATGGGATTTTCAGTCTCCGTTACTAACAATCCCTTTCCCCCCAGAAATAAGTATTATTATTAGATTAATAGCTATTAGATTTAAGACATAAACCTTTGTTATAAATTGTCGCTCTGGCAACGGGAATATTGTGCGCATCCATAGGTTACGGCAACTGTTTACTATAAGATGGGCTGTTTACTTGTTGGCTTACAAAATTATTAAATAAACAAATTTAAAAGTTCAAAAGTGGTTCCTCCATATTTGTAAATGAACTTGTATATCAATTCTGATAAAATTAAAAAGCAAACCTATATTTTTAATTTGATTTTCCTTCGCGTCCTCAATAATTGCCTCCTCAAACGACTCTTTGCACGTCAATAATTCTTTATCCAACTTCACTTCAGCGTTTGTTTTCATCAGAGTCCTCAGTTTTTCAGCAATCTTGTCTATTTCGGCACCTCTATTGTTAGTTTTCAATGGTTCCCTTTTCTTTATTTCTTCTATAATGGGCGCCAGAGGCTCCTTTCGCGCCTTTTCTTTAGGAAGTTCCATTTTTAAATTACGATTTATATTTTCTGTTCCGTTATCGACGTTCCGTTTTCTCGTTCGCTTCTTTTGGTAAAAAATCTTACGTTCCGTTCTACCGTCGCTCGATCTCAAATTGTACGTCGTTTTATCTGTTGCTTTTTTTTGTGCCGTGATTCTTTTACCTTCAGGCGGAGTAACGGCTTTCTCATTCTCGGACGCATACTCGTAGATTTCAGTGTTGATGAAACTTTCTTGAAACTGGCTACGTTTCAGCAATTGTAGATAAAACCGCGTGGATATAGGCACTTTGTCGTGGTAAATCGTTTCGTTGCTCTTCAGTAAATTCTTTTGTTTTTTTAAATTGATCTTCGTTATACGCAGCCTGCTTTCGCCTGTGAAAACAAAAAGCTGTATGTCCTCAGGGATGGCAACGCATGGGGAGTATCATGGGCGAAACAGTATACTCTGTTATGTCCATGATACTGCATGTCTATAGGCGATGGTTACCACTTTCCATCAGGTGGGCCATCAGCTTGTTTGCCACTCTAAATTGTATAAAAAAAATTTCTACTTTTAATAGTGATCATCGTCATTTCAGCCATTATTGTTTATAATGCCACTACGTATCTGTTTAATATGGCCGTGTAGTCACGGCATAGAATTGGCCACCCATTCCTTTCCCGTCGGTGTCGTAAGAAGCGACTAAGGGAGGGCGAGGGACGGGTAGCAGCACTCCTCTTAAAACGTCATCAAAGCCTAACTGTGGTTGCCAATGCACTTGCCAAGTTTAGCAACTACTGGCGAAACTCCCCTTACAAGGAAGGCCTATGTTCAGCAGTGCAGTGTTAACGGCTGATGTACATAATAATAAAATCTAATTAAAATGTCCCAAATGAGTGAGTAGCTAAAGTTTTTATTTATAATATTTTTAAACTTTTTTTTGTAACAGGAGGCAAACGAGCATGCGGCTCACCTGATGGTAAGTGACTACCCTCACCCATGATCACTTGCAATACCAGAGAAACACGCAACAAGAATTTTAAAACTATACTTTTTTATTTACTATGAAAAGGCACATTCGATCACAGTAAACCACCTATATCATGTCTGTATATCTGTATATAGGAGATTTAATATTAAAAAAAAATATAACAGGAATCAAAACAGTTTTGTCTGACTGTTCCCAGCGACACACAACAACTACTAGACCAAATTGGATGCGATTTTTATTGATATATGATTATAGACGAGGCATGAGCAGCAGCGTCTCTGTCAAAACATATCAAATTCTAACTGTAATTGCCAACCCGATTGCCAAACGTGACAACTACTGGCAAAACCCACCAATAGGGGGAGGCGTATGTCCAGCAGTGGACAGTTAACGGCTGGTGTAGGGTAGGATATGGCAATGAATTAACAGGGTACAGAGGAATAACACCTAAGTCCTTAGAAATAGCTACGCATGGGGGGTATCATGGGCGAAACTATACACTGTTATGTCCATGGTACTGCTCATGTCTATAGACGACGGTTACCACTTTCCATCAGGTGGGCCGTCAGCTTTTGTTTGCCATTCTAAGTTGTATAAAAAAGATGTGTTGATTATGATGATGATGACACAAAAAATTAAATACAAAAGCGATAAGGCCGTCCATTGTTACCTCTTCATCGTGAAGAAGCAACAATGGGCGGCCTTATCGCTAAATAGCGATCTCTTCCAGACAACCTCAGGATGGAGAGAATTAATTAAAAATGTGTCTGATAAAGCCGTAATAGTATTTCTCTACTTTTGTAAATAGTTACAAGATTACATTCTTCTACAGTCTAATTCATAAATTTAAAATTTTCTAAATTGTTACAATTCGAGTCGATGACTTATAACTCGGTGCATAAATACTTACTTTCGTTGAAAATATTCTCCGTTTCATGTATGAAACTGTAATTAAGTGGACGTACAGAGTTTATAAAACATTTAGGCATTACGCTTAGACTGTAATTAATATCCTAAAATGTAGATATAATGTAAAATATCAATTAAAAGTATTCAACCGACATCACACCTACAGTAGGGCACTTGCTGTGACGCGACACAAACAACCGAAATCAAGTAAATTTATTTTAAGAATTCCAAATTCGAATCCAGCGGTCGCGGCCATCGGCTGCCAGTGTCGGCGACCGCGAGTATCATTTTCTTTTTTAATGTTGTTTATGGAATTAGAGTTGGAATGCGATACTCCAATTTTAACAGTAAAATTTAAAAAAAGAAATTTATGAAAATTAACTATAAAAGCAATTGTTCTACCTATTCAATTTTAAAAATTATCGGGCTTAGCATTAATCTAGGAAACATAGGTACGTTTCCTACGTAGGTACGTAAGTAGGTCGAATCCTATAGTCGCTAGAACATCTAGTCCCTACACCTGAGGGATGTAGGTACTTGATACTGATTAAGTTCGCAGGTAGTTGATATTTGTATAGGTAGATAGGCAATACCTGCTGATAGCGTAAGCTTTTGATATGATTACTGAGCAAATATTAGAATTCCAGCTTTTTCGAGATGCTTTTATGATAAATCACATAATGTGCATCGTTCGGAAGCTTTTGATTAGTGGATGTAGTGGTGTTATGTGAAAAATGGAGATAATGATAGCGCGCGCGCGGTGCTGCCGCGGCGCGGGGGGGTTGCAAGAGGGCGCCCATCGATTATTCGTTGTCGAGCGTCCGTTGAGTCGGCACGCGCTGCGTTTAAATTTAGAATTGCCGCTCGAAATCGAGACGCCGGGAAATGTTAAATTTTTGGGCGTCATCAGTTTTTCCGTGTGTGTTTGTGTCCACGTAAAATTTGTGTTGTGACTTGACTTATGCGGTGACGGGCAGGCCGAGAGCGAAGGGCGGCCAGGCGAAGCCGGCGACATGGGCAACTCGTGCAGCTCAGGGCAGGCCCACAAGGATAAGGACAATTTGTCACAACACTCAGAAGAGTGAGTACTAGCTCGTTTATGAATATGGGACTGATGCGGCATGAAGGTCAGAACACTCGATTACAATACTCTTGTTAGCTAAATGGACTGGCTGAAAACAAATGTCACGCGTTGTCTTATTTGTGCAATATTGTCGAACAGTAGTCGAGAAGATAAGCATGTTGGAATTGTCAATATAAATCGATACGTTCAAATTGACAAGCAGTAGATACGTAAACTCGATATAGGAAAATAAATCGATATTTTTTCATTGGAGAAAAGGGAATCGTGGGGTATAAAGGGTACATATTAATCAATATGCATATAGGTACCCAGCACTCAATATAAATAGATATTTCTGAAGTTAATAACATGTCTTTAGCTTGCTGTATGATGATATTCAATTTATTAAATGACTTCAATAAACTAGAGCTACAATAGACTGAATTACATTTGTAGGTAGTCTAAATATCTATCTACCTACTTAATATATATGAAAAAAAAACTAAATTAGCTTTTAATTACTGAAAATCTTCGTCGACGTCTCATGTAGTTCACACGGGATCGAACGTCTGGACTGTAAGGTCAAGGCTGCAGTCAAGGTCCGACATCGTTGATCCTTTCGACTGCGCCGTAAGTTTTCTTCCCTTGGGGGCAAAATCAATGGGATGTATGAGATGAGATGGCGACAGTATTAAACTTGGTGTTAGTTTAATGCCATAGATATATCTATAAGGTTTTTGAATAAAAAAACATATATTATGAAGACGGAAATATCCGAAATTGTAGAGTGGTAATTTCGTAATAATAAATGCCACATTATCAAACCAATGGCTTGGTCTTTAAGCTAATATATTCTGTATTATGTGGAGCTAAGTAACGGACATCTAGGGGCACAGCCCAGAACACTTAAACCTGAGTCAAATCTGAAATGTTCTTCTTCAAAATTGGCTCAATCGGGTATCTAACCCAGGACCTTATTTACGTAAAACAACGTGCCTACCACTGCGCTGCGAGAGGCGTTACAGCCATAACTCGACTCCCCTAGTGCTATAGATGTTTGTACATAGCGACGATATGATGACCTTGACCTTTACATCACGATGCTCGCCATCGCTAAAGGAGCTTATATGAATGACATGCAACAGTTTTTTTACCTTTAAGGGAGCGATCGGTCACGTGAGACGCCTGTTGATATACTGTTACCGTGTAATACACGGTATTCGGATATTTGTAAAAAATTTTTTATACACAGAAGTGGCAAACAAGCATACGGCCCACCTGATGGCAAGCAGTTATCGTAGCCTATCATCGTCTGCAATACCAGACGCATTACGCGCGCGTTGCCGACCCTGAAGAAATCTCTTTACCCCTTTTTTGAAGAACCTCATATTGTAGTCTCTTGGAAAAATCTAATTGTTAAGTTTCTGATCAAGCACATCATCCGACCAACCCTGAAGAAGTGTGAACACATTTTTATCTAAAACCCCATACAAATGTTGTAACCTTTTGGAATATGTTAAATTAAAGTATGAGCTACCTTCGCCATCATCCTCATATCAGCCTTTAACTGTCCAGTGTTAAATATGAGCCTCCCTTTTGGGGGGTTTTGCTAATAATCGCCACGCTTGGCAGGCGGATTGGCAACCGCAGTTAGGCTTTAGCGGTGTTTTAAGACAGACGCTGTTGTCCATCTTTTATCTATCTACCTTACGACACCCATGAGAAAGAAGGGGATGGCCTATTCTGTGTCGGGACCATACACCATTTTGTGCTATAGGGGTTATGATTACTATTAGTAAGTAATATTAGTAAATGTTTTAGTATTTATAAAATGCCAATACAAAACTGTTAAATAAAAATTTAACTACCCTCAATTTTTAATCTGAGCGATCATAGAAGGAACCTTTGAAGCAGCACTATATATTTGATTTCAAGATGTGAACATGTACTGGTGATAATGAGTGGATGCTCTAATAATAATTATAACATTTTACATAATTATCTTATCTTATATTCGCATATGGGGATCAGCTAAGCCGTTGCACGTCGACCCATCGGGATCTTTTGTGCTTCCCCCTACCTTATACCATCATTTCATAAATCCTATGTGTTACCTTAGCGATAACCCGTGGTTTAAGATATCTGTAGTCCCCTGGCTCTGGATAATTACAATTAATAGTCTGCATTAGGTCGAGTACAAGGAGTAAAACATGCAGAAGATGGCAGTCTTAGAAGTTCAACTTTGGCCATTTTTAGAATTTACAACAATAGCAACACTGTACATGTGACCAGATTTTTTTACTTCGAAAACGACAATCTTAAAATAAAAAAAAATACTAAAATACACAATTAAAAACGTTACAGTTTTAGTAACAAATTCTGTATGATCAACATTAGAATCTATGTATTTGAATACCACTAGAGATGCTGATATCATGGATTCCAAAGCTCATGGGATAGTAACCGTGTTTTGTAATTGCAGAGTGAAGCTTATGATTATTCATCGTTAAAAGCCATTGATTTTAGATAGATAGATAGATAGATGACCTTTATTACCATTATTAAGAAAATAAATATTAAAACAACAAAAAGAAAAAAACAACAATTAATGTTGCTGGTAATAGGAGCCGCCTCAGCTGTTGCTATATATGTACAGCTCCAGCGAGATGTACCTACTCGTATATAGCAACCTGATTTTCAGACGGCCCCTTAACTCCTTTTCATTCTCATTTTGTACTCAAATAAACACATAAGCTTGTCTCTTCAAACATAAATTCGTCTAACTAAACTTCAATCAGAAACTGGCACCATGAGTCTGTCTAAAGTCTGTCACAATTTTACATGGAATGCTTTCTTGAAACTTTATAACAATTGAGACTTCGAGACCGCGCTGTTGACGAGTTCTATGGGGTTACTCTTGAAGCGAATTGAAATTGATCGATAAATTAGAATTGAGACGTTTCGCACTCTCGATTTGCAATACTAGCGACATAATGGCTCTGTGTTGTTCTATTTGATTGCATATTAGTGTCACTATACAACCAGAGGGAGTCTTCTAGTCTTTGTGATTTCCCGATATTCCGACGTAGTTACAGCCCTTCTGTTGAAACTTTAAAAAATATTTTTTTTATTTGGACAACACTATATTTAAAGTACCTGAAACTGATTATTGTATGATAATAATGTACGTAGAAGAACAATACATACAAACAAATACAATGGCGACATTCTCTAAGCATATCATTAAAATTAAATTTCAATTTGATAACATAACGAATTTTTTTTTTTAAGAATCAAAATTTTCTTTTTATTAATGATAATGGAATGATGACCCCGTCTGCGCTGTCGGTATACGCTGGCGGGGCACCAGTGAGGGATGATAGGTGAAGATGAAAGCAGGTCAACTAGCCCATCGTGACGAATTCCACAAGAATTAACCACAATGGTTACCAATGGGAACCACGTGAAGGTCGACCTGATAGGGTTTATTGTTAGCAATAGGACTGTTAGACCCCATTACTCACAATCCCTTCCCCCCAGAATCAATATTAACTAAATTTTGAATAGGTGTAAGGCAAGACTATTATAAATTTAGTTTTAGATGGTCCATAAAAAACACTTTCACGAAACTATCAAAATAAAATATTAAATTAAGGGAAAAAAGAAGAATGGCCTCTTAAAATCAAAAGTCCACGAACACAATATAGGCCTAAAGTAAATTGGGACGTTAAAAATCTACGTTATTTTGAAATTCGAATAAAACAATACACGAATATCTATGATTATTATTAAAAAAAAAAAAACCTTTGTATTGCTATGGCACACTCACAAACGAAAGTTGTATTTGGCTTTGTGTATTTTTTTTTTGTCATTTATGTTATCTTGCTTTTCTTTTTGTGTATGTATGTTGTAATTTGTGTGCTGTAAGTAATGCAAATAAATTATCTATCTATCTATCTAACAAATCAACCGAAAATAATAGAAGTTTCATTTGTAGCGTTGTTATGATCAGCATATTTTTTTCTAGTACATTCCAGAATATTTTGAAATGATGTGAAAAACAAAGAATTCCCACGACGTTTAAATATTAGAATGTACGAACGTAATGTCGGCCCGTACAAACATTGCGTTCAATTCACAAAACAAACTATCTACCCGATATTAAGAGATAGCTATCAGTAATCGTGGCTTATTTATTTTACTCGAAATATTTGTTTTCATTTCTTTTGCCATTAAGCTTTCATTTATATATTTTTATATTGGCTATTGGTATTTTTGATGTTTACGTACCTACAATTACTTTAATAAGATCTCTTGCGTAGTTCAGTCCGCCTTTTATTTCATTTCGTTACTTAATGATTAATGAGATCTCTTTTGTTTATTATTTAATGAAAAACATAGTAATTGCAATAAGGTAACTTAACCATAGACGTATAAGAGGGAGCCAGGTTGACAGGTACAAAAGTCGTTTGCTTGGATACCTCTGTCCCATTCGTGTTTCTACATTAAAGCAGTTGTGTTTGAAGTGCTATGTTTCGGTATATGGCAGTGAATTTACAGGTTACAAAGGAATAACACCTAAGACCTCAGGAATGGCAACACATGAGAGGTTTCATAGGCGAAACGGTATACTCTGTCATGTCCGTGGTACTGCTTATGTCTATAGGCGACGGTTACTACTTTTCATCAAGTCGACCGTCAGCTCGTTTGCCATTCTAAGTTGTATAAAAAAAAAGCTCACTTTCACGTTTATAATATTAGATAGATAGACACATACTCTTTATTGTTTCCTCCATAAGTTTACAATACTAAATTGATTATAAATACAAACAATTACAAGAAAATATTACACTGACAAAACAATGGACGGCGTTATCGCTCTCTAAGAGCAATCTCTTCCAGGCTACCTTTGGATAGAGAGGAGTAATTATAAACAGTGTGACTGGAGGCAGGAAATTCTGTTTATTTACTTTAAATACTATAAATATAGAGATATAATACGTACGATAATGTGTATA